GGTTGAGCATGTATATGGGGGTTCGGTAACCATAAGTACCATCTTCAGCCCGGGTAGCAGGTCCATAATAATTAATAATTCACTGAGGTAACCATTCATCATCTTCCCAATTACCTACGTTTAATGATGCTTGCTTCTTTCTATGATTTACATCATAGACCTTAACTCCGAAGGTCTCTCCCTTTTCAATTGGCAACAAGAAGAAGGATGGTTTCAGCATACCTAGCACACATGCCCCCTCCCAATCTTGTGGTAATTCTGAGTATGCTTCCTTACCACGAAATCAGTATAAATTCTCTGGTGCTTTCCAATTAGATGTAGCCGATAGATCAAACCATACCTCTCTCAAATTGGTGTAATTAGCAAGAGTATTAGTAGGCTCTGAAACATTTGAAGCCGATCACCAAGTGGTATTTTGGGTCTTAACTTGTTTAGGCCTTCTGTCCTAAACAAGTTAACTCGCCAACAGGTGTATTATACATTGGGCCACCACTAGCTAAACATACATGATCTATTATAGATGTTTTTAACTGCCATTCCGATTTTTCCCATATACTTACTTGATGGCCAGATTGGGAAGGCATCTGTTGCTTATTCCCATGGCCATTGGTCTCCCATATTTGTATCTCCACATACAAAGCAGTTAGTTATATTAAGACTACCTGCAATACTCTCAGCCAAATCAATAAATAGGTTCTTAACGTTATGGGGAACTTTATCCTCAACACTCATCTCCTCATAAAAAGAATGAAATACTTGATGAGTTTGAGCATTCATGGTCTCGGTTTCAAGGCCTACATATATTATGGCTCCTGGATCTGCTCCTGGACCATATATTTGGAACCCATAAAGATTCTCAAACTTACCGATATATTGCTGTGGATTGGAAATGGTCATGTGCATGGGATTACACTCCATCGTTTTGCAACCTTTGGATTATCATATCTTGGTCTACTGTCTTTCCCCAGGTCGCCCAACCTACACATGGCCAACATAGGCAGAAGTTAAAGTTTCTATTTGGGCAATCAGGATCAGTAGATCTTTTACTAGGGCATAAGTATTTGTCATTGTCGATTCCCATTTAAGATTAACACATACATTCCAAGGTTTTCTACTACCCGAAATCGCCTTACATGCATTAAATAATAGGATACCCATGGAATGTATGGTGCTTAGCAAAGTTATATTTATCAATGTCCCCTGAGAGTGAGTATTTTGAATTACCAACCAAATTGTACACACTATAATCAACATCTAAGTATCTACACCTAGACACAGATCCCTTACAGTCATACTGTGAGTGCCAAATAAGGGTCTGAGATATCTGGTTACCTGTTTTTCTAGTCTTAATACAACTAACACAGCTTTAAATATCCTCACCTTTACTTTCCTGAAATATTATAAAAACATTAAAACACACAAGAAAGCACATACTTGGCGTCTTTATCCTCTTTTTCGACCTCAGCTTCCCGCTTGTGAGGGCTGCAAGTAGGGCCGGACTGGGAAAAAAATTCGGCCCGGGAATTTTTTTTATCACAGCGGCCCACTAAGGGGGCGGAGCAAAGAGGGTGTGTTTTGTCATCACTCATGACAAACACGCCCCCTGTTGGTTCAATGCTCTTCCAGGGCAGACCATGCACAGAGATCTGCTGAAGAGCTCTAGCATGAGAAAAAAGCCCTGTATTTGTTCTGCACAGTGCAAGCAAATTTAATAACATGCTTGCACTGTGTTTCCTTGCAACTTGTCTCTGGTGTCTCTATAAATGGATACCAGGAGACAAAAGGGCCAGGAAAGAGTATTGTGCATGTGTTTGGAAACTGCTTGGGTTATTGCGTGTGTGCAGAGTGAGCTGGTCGTGGTGTGGTATTGTGTAATAAAGTCGGTTTTAGTCGTGTTGTGTTTGTGGTAATGTAATGCATATGTGGCTAGGGGCTTTAGAGAATGTGTGTTTAGGGGATGTAGCAAGTGTGTGTATACAGGCTATAGTGTGTGTGTGTAGGTGATGTAGTGTTTGTAGAGAGTGTGTGTTCAGGGAATGTAGTATGTGTTTGCTTACAAGGAATCTAGTGTTCGTAAAGGGGATCCAGAGTGTGTGTGTGTTTGAAGGACCCAGAATATGTATAGGAGATCTAGTGAGCGTGCGTATATAATGGATTCAGAGTGTATATAGGGATCTAGTGTGTGTATGTGTGTAGATGATCCAGAGTTGGGTAGAGGATCTAGTGTGTGTCTGGAATGAAATGTGTTTAGGGGTGCTGTGTGTGTGTGTATATTTATTTGTGTATATATATATTATATAAATATGTTTGGAAGTATTGTGTATGTGTGTGATGCAGTGTATCGGGGGGTCGTGTGTGTATGTGAGGGGTGCAGTATGTGTGTGATGGATCCTGTGTGTGAGGTGTGGGTGCTGTGTGAGGGTGTTGTGTGTGTGTGAGGGTGCTGTATGTGTGGGTGCTGTATGTGATTGATTTGTGTGAGGGTGCTGTGTATGATGTGTGTGAGAGTGTTGTGAGTGCTGAGTGTGAGTGCTGAGTGTTATGTGTTTGAGAGTGATGTGTGAGAGTGCTGAGTGCTGTGTGTCAGAGTGTTGTGTGTGATAGTGCTGTGTATGTGTGTGTGAGTGCAGAGTGTGATGTGTGTGAGAGTGCAGAGTGTGATGTGTGTGAGAGTGATGTGTATGATGTGTGTGAGAGTGCAGAGTGTGATGTGTGTGAGAGTGCTGTGTATGATGTGTGTGAGAGTGCTGTGTATGATGTGTGTGAGAGTGCTGAGTGTGAGAGTGCTGAGTGTGATGAGTGTGAGAGTGCTGTGTATGATGTGTGTGAGAGTGCTGAGTGTGATGAGTGTGAGAGTGCTGTGTGTATGATGAGTGTGAGAGTGCTGTGTATGATGCGTGTGAGAGTGCTGTGTATGATGTGTGTTGGGGGGGTAAATAAACAAATAAAAAACTAAGGGGGTTAAATAAAGAAATAAAAAAAAACTAAGTAGGCATTAAATCCCCCCCTCCCTCTTACCTTTAGCCTGGGAGGGGGGGACAGGCACGTGGTAGCTGGGAGGGGGGACCGGCACACTCACATCATCCCTGGTGGTCCAGTGGTGAGTGAACTCTAGCCTGAGGGCTAGAGTTCACTCTCGCGAGATCGGCGCGTTGCCATGGCAACGCGCCGGATCTCGCGAGAGGAACCGGGCGGAGCTACAAGATAGAGCTCCGCCGGGTCCTTTCCCTCCCTCCCCAGCCACAGGTCTATTTAAATGGGCCGGTGAGGGAGAGCTTTGATCTCCCCACCGGCCCTCCATGGCAAACAGCGGGGCCGGCGCTCAGATAGTGCCGGCCCTGCATAGACCGGCAGGGGAGATCCTGGGACCTCCCCTGCCGGCCTCGGCCCATGGCCACCGCGGCCCACCGGGCATTTGCCCGGTGTGCCCGATGGCCAGTCTGGGCCTGGCTGCAAGGATTGTTGTCCGTCTGATCCTCTCTTCCCTTCACAGAGGTCCCTTCAAGACACTCTGGCTATGTAATGTAGGTAGGTGGTCAGGCTTTATTATGGCTGTCAAAACACCTACTTGCTGCATTCTGTTATATTTCTTAACCACGGTTAAAATCGTCTCGTACCCAGGGGCGGACTGAGAGAGTCCTGGGCCCTCGGGCAAAATTAGGACCTGGGTCCCTCCAGACATACACACACATATATATATATATATATACATATATATATATATATACATATACACACACACACATATATATATATACATATACACACACACACATATATATATATATACATATACACACACACATATATATATATACATATACACACACACATATATATATATATATATATATATATATATATGTGTGTGTGTGT